GCAGCAAATGGCTCAGAAATCAAATTTCTCACTTATAAGTTTTGTTTGCACTTGTGCAGTGCTTTTCATTTGTGCCCTACCTAAGGCTTGAGAATCTGTAGTTACACTACATGTATTTAAACAAAACAATTAAAAACTACCATATATGTACTCTGCTTGAATGGTCTGAAATGATATACAATTGTTTAGAACTAGTTATTTATTACTATAAAATGTGAGTAATTGAGTGTCCCAAACATGATGGGACATAGCAATATTTCCTCCTTTGGGTATTACTTGATAAAGATAAATGCATTTTACCGGTAATATCTTTTTTTATGAAATATCAAGAATAATCAGGTGATTTGATATACTTAAATCTAATTGCTATTTATATCCATGTAAAGGAAGTTAGCAAGAATGTTCGGATAAACAGGATGGTAGTAATAATGTCATGGTCATAGGATATGTTTTCCCTTATCAAAGAGTTTACAGTATACATGTATGGTCCTGGATATAGCGATTAAAGAACATTTCTTGGCATTTCATCTAGTTTTCAAATTAGGACTTCTCTGAAACAGTGACTCAGATCAGGAACATATGAAAGATTTCAATCCACTATTACCAGAACAACTGATTCATGTTGCACCGTGGTGTGTATATGTTTCAGGTTTGTTCGTCATGCCAGACTTGAACTTGGGTATTTCTAAAAGTATCTTTAAGGAGTATTGTGAAATGTATCAATTCAGGTAGGGAATCTGAATAAATCTGGCCATACTGAATGTTGTCTTTATTTCATCAGTGTGTACATTCAGTGAAAAGAAATATAGTCAATAACAATTAGTCAGTCTGAAATGTTGTTTGCATTGTTATTAAAAAAAAGAAGTCATGAATGCAAATTATTGACACATATATGTGCTGTATCAGTAGCGATTGCCCTTAGGTAAATAACAAAGGTGTGTCTGATGGTAAAAATAAATCATATTTTAATGATCCAGCATACAAGAAATCTATTTTTTGATTTATGTGTGCTACTGGTAATATTTTACATTATATCTTTACTTTCCGAAATTCTCAGCCTGGTAACCTAAAACATCTTCTGTTTTTTAGAGTAATTTCTTCATTAATTTTGAACCAAATGGACATTTTCAATTGGCTAAAAGTCTTGGTCGCATTTTTTGATTAAATTAGAAAATTATCATACAAGTGTTAAGTGACTAATTGAATCCGGTGCTCAAAGGTTTAAAAGCAACAGAAAGATTGAACTATAGAGGGCACCATAACATCTGAAATTACCATGCCAACAGTGTCATGCCAACAGTGTTTTTCACAATGTTATTATAGTGAACCCTGGGAATCAGTGGATACATCACAATCCATTTTCAGTCTCCATTTTAAATACAATAAATGTGGACATCACACATTGTTCATGAATTAACATGCAAGTTATTGATGGAAATGAATGCTGTGATCAAAGTAAACTATACACTATACATCAAGGTAACAGAGGATTATACAATCCTTTGTGCACGGCACAAAGCAGAGAAAAGAAATTAATGATTTATTATTCTCTTTCTTCATCTGTATTTTTACATAATCGTTGAAGTCCATTTGTGATCTAGTGTGTGTGAGTTATATTGTGATCTTCCTTTACTTTGTATGCTGTCAGTCCCTGGGAATTGAGATGTATAAATTTTTTATGCTGTGCAGAGTGAACCCTATTTA